GAGAGATTCCAGGACTTCCGTCCTGCCCCCACTGAAGCAGTGGTCACGTGTCTGTCTCCTGTGACTTCCTCAAAATATGCCCCGTTCACCCAGCAGCAAATGGGTACCCGGTAGGATGCAAAGGTAATGTCACTCTTTACCTTCTAGTGCCTTATAAGCAGCTTGGGTTGCCTAATCCCTACTGAGCTGGAATTTGATTTCACACCGATACAAGCTCCCTTTTCCCTTATGTGAGGACACAGCGCACAGTCTCACTCGGCCCTTGTCAGGTATATTTCCCACTGACATGAAGAGATTCCCCAGCATCATGGACTTTCTCCCTGCAGAGGCCAACTAAGCCTTATCCCTGTCATAAAAGACAAGATTCAACCCAAATAATCAATGAAAGTTGACTCCTAAACAAGAAATTTGAAACACAATCAATCATTTTAAGCCCAATCTAATTAGACAGAAGTGCAAATAGAAGGCTTCCATACATCAGAATCAATGGACTCGGATCTACAGCCAACAGTTGAAGAGGAAAATGGTAATTTCACATACACAATCCTGAAATTTAGATGTACATTATATAATTGAACTCTGAACCCAACATGAATCTAGATGATAGCACAACGAGGTTCCTTCTGGAGTTTGTTTGTTGTTTATCTGATCATCATGGGTCTCCTGGAGATTGTTTGTTTATCTGATCATCATGGGTCTCCTGGAGATTGTTTGTTTATCTGATTGTCATGGGTCTCCTGGAGATTGTTTGTTTATCTGATCATCATGGGTCTCCTGGATATTGTTTGTTTATCTGATTGTCATGGGTCTCCTGGAGACTGTTTGTTTATCTGATTGTCTTGGGTCTCCTGGAGATTGTTTGTTTATCTGATCATCATGGGTCTCATTCTGGAGTTTGTTTGTTGTTTATCTGATCATCATGGGTCTCCTGGAGTTTGTTTGTTTATCTGATTGTCATGGGTCTCCTGGATATTGTTTGTTTATCTGATTGTCATGGGTCTCCTGGAGATTGTTTGTTTATCTGATCATCATGGGTCTCCTGGATATTGTTTGTTTATCTGATTGTCATGGGTCTCCTGGAGACTGTTTGTTTATCTGATCATCATGGGTCTCCTGGAGTTGTTTGTTTATCTGATCATCATGGGTCTCCTGGAGATTGTTTGTTTATCTGATTGTCATGGGTCTCCTGGAGATTGTTTGTTTATCTGATTGTCATGGGTCTCCTGGGGATTGTTTGTTTATCTGATCATCATGGGTCTCCTGGAGATTGTTTATCTGATTGTCATGGGTCTCCTGGAGATTGTTTGTTTATCTGATCATCATGGGTCTCCTGGAGATTGTTTGTTTATCTGATCATCATGGGTCTCCTGGAGATTGTTTATCTGATTGTCATGGGTCTCCTGGAGATTGTTTGTTTATCTGATCATCATGGGTCTCCTGGAGATTGTTTATCTGATCATCATGGGTCTCCTGGAGATTGTTTGTTTATCTGATCATCATGGGTCTCCTGGAGATGGTTAGTTTATCTGATTGTCATGGGTCTCCTGGAGACTGTTTGTTTATCTGATTGTCATGGGTCTCCTGGAGACTGTTTGTTTATCTGATTGTCATGGGTCTCCTGGAGACTGTTTGTTTATCTGATTGTCATGGGTCTCCTGGAGATTGATTGTTTATCTGATTGTCATGGGTCTCCTGGAGATTGTTTGTTTATCTGATTGTCATGGGTCTCCTTCTGGAGATTGTTTGTTTATCTGATTGTCATTAGGGCTGGAACGATACACAAGGTCACGATACGATACGTACGATACGATACAAAAATTAATGTCACAAGCTGGTGGAAGATGATGAAAGTTTAATGTAAAATAGTTCTCATCAAATAACTCAAATTTTCCTTCAGAACAGGTGTCAAACACAGCACATGTCACTCAATAGCAAGACTCAAAACACCTGAGTTAAGGAGCCTGACTAAATACCTGGATTTTCTGCAATAAAAATGCATTCTAAATGTCATCTGAACAGCAGAACTATTTGGTAAAAACAACCACTGGTTTGTGATTTTCTCACAATGATCAATGAAAGGCAAATTGTCTGAAACTCTGAACTTGAATAATCAACATCACACTAATTAGTAAATCACAAAGTCAGACATGTTTAACTGATGTCTAAACATTAACTCTTTCAACACCAGTCAACCAGAACTGTTTACTGCTGGGACACCGAGTTCCCAGAGACTCTTGTGTGACAGATGAAGCCAACATTTATCAAAGAAAATATCTGGTTGTAGAATATATTTGCCACTACATGTTATACACCATTTGAAAGGTCTGATCCTATGGTTTATAAATATGAAAGTTATGTTTTTCACATTATTTAAAATAATGCATTTACAACTTAATTAAGTTCGTTGTAAATAAAAAATGTAAGCTAACACGTTGTTAACATCCAGATTAAGGACCAAGGAAGTGAAAACTTGACGATTTTCAGCAAATATAAGATTTAATAAAATCCACTTACCTATTTCTGTTTTATTTTCATTGTTTACGTAATTGGAAAATTATTTTAAAAAAAGAATTATGAATAGTTTCTGTCATCACCCATTTCCCGATAACAGCGTCTGTCCGCGCAGTAACATGAAGAAATACTCCCGTTTTCGAGGCTTCGTATGAATAAAACATTCGTCGAAGAATGGCATATGACACATCTCTGGAAAGCTTATTCCTTCATCTACATTCTCGTAACATCGACTGTTTTTTTCCGTAGTTATAACAAGCGATTTCATTGGATTAAAATTGGTTTCTAATGACGCTTTCTTGCCGAAATCTGCTACAAGTTTCGTGATTGGACAATTCTGAGCACGTGACCAAAGGCAGCCAATCAAATTACAGCTGTGATACAAGCTCGTTTTTGATAAATTTCAGAAGATGGCGAAAGATTTTTGTTAAATCGTGCTATTCTGAACGTTTTAAGCAGGAAATCATGATATATATTAAAAATATGAAACTTCGTGAACGTATCGTGCTAGGTTACGAGCTGTGACAAAGATTTTCATGCATATATTTTTGCATCAAACATCGTGTCCGAGCCAAGAATTCAAGGCGACGAAAGCCGAGATGTCATTTGACTTACATTCCACGCGATCGCACGAAAAGATGGAAATAATAACTTAGATGTTTGATTACTTTTAGATATATTTTTGTTGATATTATTTATTACTTTGTATAATATATTTAAAGATTTGTTTAAAACGTCTTTATTTTGCTCTTTGACATGTTTGATGTGGACCCGTATTTCAATAACATCGCGGGAATTAGTGAATATTTTTTTAATTTATCGATAAAAAATGATAAATTGAATGAGAATATGTATTTCAGACATTATGAAATGTGATAGATTTAATAAATGAATGATATTACAGGTAGGTCCATTAAAATATATACTATTTTGACGTGACTACGGCTTGGCCGGTTTACCGGCCTACGGTGTCTGGGGACTCGATGCTTCTTGGCCGGAAAACCAGTCGCCATGTTTGAAGGCTGAAACTAATACGAGTCATTTGATTGGTCGTACTACGAAAATCAACCAATCATATTTGCCCTTGTATCATCGCTTTATTTTCTTTACTGACTGCGTTGGAACAAAACGGACGATGTAAACAGCGGCAAATACGTTTTGTTACTCGTAGTATATCAGCTGTATCGTTTTGTATCGATACATAGACCCACGAATCGATAGTCGTATCGAACTGTAATGTATCGTGATACATCGATGTATCGGTGAATCGTCCCAGCCCTAATTGTCATGGGTCTCCTTCTGGAGATTGTTTGTTTTTTCTGATTGTCATGGGTCTCCTGGAGACTGTTTGTTTATCTGATCATCATGGGTCTCCTGGAGACTGTTTGTTTATCTGATTGTCATGGGTCTCCTGGAGATTGTTTGTTTATCTGATCATCATGGGTCTCCTTCTGGAGATTGTTTGTTTGTTGTTTATCTGATTGTCATGGGTCTCCTTCTGGAAATTGTTTGTTGTTTGTTGTTCTTATTGTCACAGGGATCACTCTGGAGTAATTGCTTCAGTGCTTAGTGGTAAGGTTTTGCCGCCTCAATGTTATGAGGTGAATAATAGTTGCAAAGTCAACTGTGACCCACCAGGAGAAAAGGGGTGAGTGAGTATTGTTTTACGCTGCTTTAAACAATATTCCAGCAATATCACAGCGGGGGGACACCAGTAATGGGCTTAACACATTGTACCCATGTTGGCATGACGAACGAATGCTTTAACCACGAGGCTACTCGACCGCCCCCAGGAGAAAAGGGACCTTATGGGTTCTAGGATACAAATGTGCTGTGACATCCTAAAACCGTTTGAAGTCAACATACTTCAGTGAAGATTGCCATGAGTGATGTCATGTATCTCTGTTATAAATATGAATTGAAGCTTGTGAATTGTATTTTTGTGTTCCAAAAATGATGTAGTTTTGAAATATAATGAAAAGTCAAAATGTGATTTTTCACCCCTGAGGTCCCTCACCTCATGGTTGGTCAAAAATATTGTTTTTACTTTGTGAACTTGTCACACGAAAAGATGAGGCTAACATATTGAAACTGGTTGTGACCTGTGTAGTGTGGAGAGGTGGGCCTGGCCACGTTCTGTATCGTGTTGGTGGCTGGGATGATCGTGTGCCTCTGGTACAGCGTGGGAGATTATCACACAGAAGCTAAACATCAGACTGAGACTGGCTAGCATCATGAACACATCCCCAAAGTATTCAATATTTTACAACCTCTAACTGAAATTGAAAATTCCTCAAAACAAGTTTACAAGTGAATGAGTGCACAATTTGCCAGTGATTAGGACAAGTACAAAATTACTGAACAGAAATAATGTCATCAAGCATGATATTATGTTCAAATCAAAAGTTTTGAAATAAACACAATTAGAAAAATAGATCCCCAAGTGTTCCAATAATCTAGATAAATATGAGAAAAAGATTTATACATACAAAAAGATCTCAAAACAGCCAATGGGAATGCCATATGGCTCTGATGGCGAGAAGCGAGATCGTCGCCGCCTCCTCCGTCGTCCGTCCAAGCATTGCAAACTGTAGGTTTTCCCTACAGAAAGTTGCACATTAGAGTGGGCTTGCTCCCAGAAATAATCAAATATTGTTTTTCCTTGAGAATAGGATCCATGACTCCTGGCAGCTCCGTAAGAGAAACTTGTGTTACACTTTCCACAACAGCCACAAATACACGACACTTGGCTTATCCGTTTTAAAACAAGGGCACCCCGGCTTTCTCGAACCAGCCTGGGCTCATTCATGCTGGGTCTGGCAATCTCCCGCTGTTATTGATCTGAGGAATAACACTGCTGTCTTCACTATACACATCCACCTTCCACTCGCCCAGCAGGTGTAGTCATCATAACCACTCACTCTCTCTGCCAATCATGGACAACACATTCAAGCTGATAAACCTCTAGACAAGTCACTTTTCTAGACCTAAGACATTGCATTTTATTAGAACATGGCTTACTTTGGATAAGATTTGATGATTAAAATGTTCTTAAAAAAACTGCAAAAGGTTATTCAGTCAAATTTTAAGGCAATTATATTGTTTTAGGAAACTATCCTTAGAGTTAGATCTTAAACAACTTCTTGTCACTTCATCAAAAAAGAAAAATATTCCAAATTGTCTTCCAGCAAACTTTTGAACCAGTACTTAAGAATTGTCCAAAATTCAATTATCTTCAGCCTGAAAATCTATTGGTTTCATCAGGACAAGACAGATTTTTTTCTAAAAAATGCCCAAACCTGTTATTTTCTTTTAGGTTGTCAGACTTTTTAACCACAAAACTACACCAACTTTCAAAATATTCTCAGACCACCTGAAACAGTTGCCCAACAGAGAACAACTTTTTCCATCAAATAACACACTACTTTCCTCCCAACTGCTGTTAATTAGTAATCCTCCAAATGGTCGTGACATGATCATCCCCGTGTACTACATCCCTAAACACTGGTGAGAGTAGAGTGACTACTGGCTGCTGGGACCTCCCTCCCTGCCTGCCTGCCGCTGCCTGCCGCTGCCTGCCTGGAGACAATAAGCCGTATAAAGCCGCTATTGACAACTAGCTAATCCAACCCCCAACCGAGAGCTCATCTGCCAATCAACACTGCTCCATACAGGTAAAAATACGTCAAACCACTGGGGATTGAGAAAAAACCAACTTAACACCCACAGATGGTCTTGGTATTTGATTGCCTGATGTGCGAGTACATAAGATACAATCTGATTGGATGTTGTCATTCACGAATACCTTGTGCTGTCGATGTGGATAAGGTTATTGCATAGACGTTGTTAAGATAAGGGGCCTTGTTTTAATGTAGTGCATTTCTTATGCACAACTGCAAGTCTTTGCATGGGAATTGATGTTTTTTAAAGATAAGATATCATTACCAAGATCATGACAGGAATTTGGAATGAAATGTTCATCATTACATTTCCTCTGAGACACTTAACACTTATATTGCTTCATTAAAGAATAATTGCTATTGAGACCTGAATATCAGAATTTATACTTAATATACACATAGAATGAAGGCTATATCCATACCAGGCACAACACAAGCTAGATTACCGAGCTCTGTAACAATGTGACTCAAGAGAATCCTCTACGGGTTCTGTTACAGCTCTAAGCCTTAAGTCTCACTTGAAGCTTTGACACACTGACAGATTAATTACAAAGTTTTCAGGCAAACATTCTGCTTAGTATGTGAAACCAGGAAACATCCAATTTCTGATTTACTAAATAAAAAATAATTAGACATTTGTCCATGCAGAACATTCCATCACACAGCAGGACAACCTTTCTCACTGTCACCACTAAACACCAGGAACAAATCTGGCCGCTACAATCTGGATGGTAAATACCAACGCTGGTATTCCAAGGCCAGTATTCCCACACCTGATAGCCCGTGTCTGTCCTCCGTTGAGATTCGGGGAAGGTAACAGAACACTATTGCATGACATAGAGAAACGTGGAATAAATGTTTTATTCCCTCTATTGATTTCATTATTCCCCCGCTGTCTTTACCGACCATCACAGCCACAGGTTCTACACCATTCTAACATTAGGGTGAATATGTGTCTTCAAGTCTAAGTCACATACACTCACATTTGTGATTAGAAATAGTATTTTTTTGTAAAAGACTACATGGTTCATGCTTGTTATGAAATCCAGTTGACAGAAAACGGCATGACTGTGTTATATTCCTGACCCCCAGCCACTGCTCAATAGGGTATAGGTGTATCACAAGGGTATAGGTGTATCACAAGGGTATAGGTGTATTACAAGGGTATAGGTGTATTACAAGGGTATAGGTGTATCACAAGGGTATAGGTGTATTACAAGGGTATAGGTGTAACACAATAGGTGTATCACAAGGGTATAGGTGTATTACAAGGGTATAGGTGTATTACAAGGGTATAGGTGTATCACAAGGGTATAGGTGTATTACAAGGGTATAGGTGTATTACAAGGGTATAGGTGTATTACAAAGGATATAGGTGTATCACAAGGGTATAGGTGTATTACAAGGGTATAGGTGTATCACAAGGGTATAGGTGTATTACAAGGGTATAGGTGTATTACAATGGTATAGGTGTATCACAAGGGTATAGGTGTATCACAAGGGTATAGGTGTATCACAAGGGTATAGGTGTATCACAAGGGTATAGGTGTATCACAAGGGTATAGGTGTATCACAAGGGTATAGGTGTATCACAAGGAGATAGGTGTATCACAAGGGTATAGGTGTATCACAAGGGTATAGGTGTATCACAAGGGGATAGGTGTATCACAAGGGTATAGGTGTATCACAAGGGTATAGGTGTATCACAAGGGTATAGGTGTATCACAAGGGTATAGGTGTATCACAAGGGTATAGGTGTATCACAAGGGGATACGGTTTGACATACAGAGCTTTTATTGTATTATAATGTTTGTTGGAAATAAAACCGTGAATATTTCATGAACTGTTAAAACTGGATTGCTTAATAATTTGTCACTTGCTGAATCACCTGATAATGGCACTTCAACAGTGTGAAAAAAAAGATGTAACCAGAATAAAAAATAGCTTTTCTCATGTCCAGTTAATAATGCATAGTAATTAAATTCATAAGTAATAAGTTGGATTAATTCCATTCAAAACATGGGGAAGGAGGGAATTCAAGAGGAAGAAATTAGAGAATTTTTTTGTTGCTAAGTTTAGTTTAGACATTCGAGATAGCAAGGCATGATCAGCACAATAGGGCGGTCGGGACCTGGAGAATAGGTTGGAGATGACAGTGTTCAGGATAACGAGGTTTGACTGTATTTACCTACATGGATTACATGTATTAGCTAAATCAGTATAAGAAGATTAGTAGGGTAACTAACATTCAGAACATATTAACATTAGTGTTGGAGAAGGGTCAAATTCTGCTGAATTCAGCTACGCAATACATATCTTATCAGAACCAGGATCAGTTGCTGGCAGTCACATGGGTAATTCTAAGTGTTGGATGAGACTCTTGTATTTCAGTCCATGGAACTTTCTGCAAAAACATCTCACTGCTTTGGGCAACTGTTGAAGTAACAGGGGTTAACTGATTTTATGTCAGTAGGTAGTGAAACTGCTGAAGTATAGGAGGTTAACTGATTTTATGTCAGTAGGTAGTGAAACTGTTGAAGTATAGGGGGGGTTAACTGATTTTATGTCAGTAGGTAGTGAAACTGTTGAAGTATAGGGGGTTAACTGATCTAGAATTATGGACAATGATTTGCAGCAATATGATCCTTTTGTAATCAAGGGTTTCAAGTTATCACTATATTCAATTTTACAGAAGAATACTGAAGAATCCATGAAGCAAGGAAGTGGGCCAGGAATGACTGAAGCACAGCAACACATGAGAACTGTCCACACGTTCAGAAACTCTCTGTGAAAGAAAAAAAGACATGTCTTTGATAGTTTCAGTGCCTGGAGCCGGGGATGGGCAGGGGGCTCACCGTAGATCAGCTGGTGCTGGTGCTGGTGCGGTGACAGAGGTATCCCGCTGTCAGATGAGGACCTCCACCAGCACGACATCAATGCAACAAGCAACAGATGTGTTGAGCATGTTAGCTACTGACTCTGGAGACATGAGATCACTCAGCATGTTTGTAGTAATACGAAAGTGTTAACTGAGGTGTCAAGTCTCCATAATCCTTAATCCCACAATCCCAGATACTACAATCCCTGATCCCACAATCCTTGATCCCCACAATCCCAGACACCCACAATACCGATTTCCACGATTCCCGATTTCCGCAATCCCAGACACCCACAATCCTGATTCCCACAATTCCTGATTTCCGCAATCCCAGACACCTACAATCCGAGACCCCCCCAATCCTTGATCCCCACAATCTCCAATTCTCACAATCCAAGACACCCACAATCCTGATTGCCACAATTCCTGCAATCCCAGACACCCACAATACCTGATCCTACAATCCCTGACCCCGACACCACCTTATCCCCTCTGGGCAGGTGCTGGACTTGTCTTTGATGCTGCAGTCAACACTATCCCACCTGGATCATTAATTCATGACACCTTCAACATAAGCACCGCAGTCCGCAAGCAGTTTACACAGTCTGCAATGTTTATTGACAATTTGGCTCCACTGTTTTCATTATTGTTCACAAGCCCGAGGAAGACAAACTATGTTTGTTTACTTGTAACCCCTCAAAGATGGACCCTGAGTTATCAGGATGTGTATGTTTTTATCTTATTGAATACAGCACAATATTCCCGCAATATGATGGCAGCCTATACACAATCAATTTTGGACCAGTGATTGATATCATGAGCAACGAGCCATCAGGGTACAAAAGCACGCAGTCCACCAAGTCATGAAGCCTGGACCTAGAATTCCCATGAGTTTTTTGTCAAGACATCAGCTGCAACAAATGTTCAGATTTCACAAAAGAATATTCTTCAACAAACCAACATTCTACCTGTATTTTAGAATAACCTCCCTAACAAAACCTCTTTATCACCCAACAAATACCACCACAGATGCAAATCATAAGGTAGATATTCTATGATTGGCACATTTTTTTAAAATTGAACTGAACAGATAACACACTTTTAAGTAGGTTTGCATATTTGAAATCACATACAAACTTTAGATCCATAAAACTATATCTGGTTTAGAAGTCGACTTCTGGTAAAATCTATTTTTCATGCTAAGTACCATGAAATAGGTAAGAGCTGACATCATTGAGCACATTTCCACCTGATAGCATCAGCAGAGCCAGGAAGATGGCAATCTCTCTACAGTGTTCCTGATGAAATGTGTCTGATAAGTCAAAGGAACTAAAAGGTATAGATCACAGTTCCTATATACAATTACAAGAAGAGAGGCTCTAGCTTCTTCCTGAATAATTACACACTCCTTATTGTCGGTGACGGGGGGCATCAAGTTCACTGTAATGTGACACACTATTGGCCTTGCTACACTGACTCTCGCAGGCTAGAACTCACACCAGTTCAACTGAAGGACATCTGTACACTGACACTATC